AAAAAAAAAAAAAAAAAAAAAAAAAAAGTTTCAGCAAGTTGCTGAAATAGTGTGTGGGGGAAATGGTGACACAAAGCTTGCTTTAAATGGATGGATGCTGTGGTGTGCAAGGTCGCCAGCAGTAAAGAATAAAACATGCTTAGGGTTTAAAGAGATTGAGACTTTCCCAGCGCAGCGAGAGAGAGAGAGAGAGAGAGAGAGAGAGAGACAGAGAGAGAGAGAGAGAGGGAGAGGGAGAGAGGGAGGGAGAGACAAAGGATGTGGCACACATCTATAATCCAGCACTTCAGGAGGCTGAGACAGCCCGGGCCATTTAGCAATTTAGTGAGACCCTGTCTGAGAATAAAAAGGGGCTGGGATGTAGCTCAGTGTGAAGGCCCTGGATTCAAACACTAGTATTGTCAATGAAAGAGGGAGAAGGAAAAGGGAGTCGGGGGAGGGGAGAGACAAGGGAAGAGAAAAGAGAAAAGAAAAAAATCGATTGAAGCCAAGTGTGGTGGTACACCTGTACTTTTAGCACTCAGGGAGGCTGAGGCAGGAGGATTCCAAGTTTGAGCCCAGCTTCGGCAAGACCCTGTTTCAAAATAAAAAAATATAAACTGCCTGAGGGTTAGCTCAATGCAAAGACCCTGGGTTCAATCCCCGATACTGCCAAAAAAAAAAGGAATGAGAAGTAGGCACATAGAAACCAATTTAAAAAATAAAAACGGACATTTGAAAATAGTATTGAGAGCACAGAAGTTGCAGGAGCTAATGTTTCTGTTTGGTGGAGGAGCGCAGTCTCCCATGCAGGATCCCCAGCATTCGGGAGGACACTGACCCTCCCTCCAAGGGTGGAGCGTGAGTGTCCTCGGCGAGGGCTGCACAGCACGGAGAGGACAGGGACTGGACAGCCAGAGCTCCAGAAGACCTGCTTAGCCCGACAGCAGAGCCCGAGAGCACCCGACCCCTGTGGTCTCCTCCCCACACTGCGTGAACCCCGGACACCCACACCTAGCACGTTCCGCGGGACCCCGACAGTCACAGCCCCGCGGGTCTCAGCGACTGCCAGTTGAGACTGAGTATAGTGTGGATCCGGGATGGGCGCTGACACAGAAAGGGGTGTCAGGCAGAAAGCGAGGCGATGGAGGAAAGTATGGTTTCATTACAAAGAGTCCATCAATACTGGCTCCTTCGTGGCAACAAGCCTGCCGTGGCATTGTGTGCCGTTAATCGTCAGGGAATCGGTGCAGGGTACGTGGGGACTCAGCCATGCGTGCTGCTTTCCCGAGAATCTAAATTTATTTTGCGAATAAAATTTTTAGAAATAAAAAAGTAGACTGAGAAAATTCTGAACTATTCTGTGTCCCTTCTAGGTGAAAGAGCTACAGTTCAAGCGACTAAAATCACCAGACATCTCTCTGGCCTGAGTATATCTCTATCTTCTGCAACTGGAATATGGATATTTTTAATTATGATGATAGCATAAAAGATCAGATTTTTGATTTATTTTATTTTTTAATGAATGTGTCTCTCATTTTCTTTTTCAGTGTGAAAATTTCTGGCTTCTAGATTTTTCTACACTTAAAATACATATCAAATAAAAGACTTTACTATCAAGATTCTTGTTTTGTCACATTTTGTTTACATGGTGCTGGCGATTGAACTGAGGGCTCCTACAGGCTAAGCAGGTGCTCTGTGCCCCATCCTCTAACGAGACTCTGTTTTTGTTTTTTTGAGACAGGGTCTCACTGTGTAGTTGAGATTGACCTAGAACTCACTACTCACTATGTAGCCCAGGCTGGTCTTGAACTCACAGCGATCCTCCTGCCTCAGCCTCCCGAGTCCTGGGATTACAGGTGTGCGCCACCACGCCCAGCTCTAATGAGACTGTTTCTTGGCTCTCATTAAATGTCTTGGCCCCTAGTTATAATCTCATAATTTTGTTCTCATATTTTTGTTTCTTAGCAAGATATTTTTGTCTGCAGTAGATCAGCTCTTTAATCGAAGGGCGTTCATTAGGAAAGAGGTAAAAGACCCCGGATACGTGTTCTGCCTTGGTTAGGGGCAGCAGTCAATGAGTGAGAGTAATCCTTTCTTCCTTTTTCTTCCTTCCTTCCTCCTCCTTTCTTTTCTTTCTTTCTGTCTTTCCTTCTTGAGACAGGGTCTCCCTATATAAGTTCAAGCTGGTCTTAAACTTACTACGCAGCCCAGGCTGGCCTTGAACTCAGGGCAACCCTCCTGCCTCAGCCTGGTGAGTACTGGGTATTTCCACATTTTTTTGTCCCATTGTTGCCCTGATGAAATCTCTCCCGTTCCCTACTCCTCTGAAGCTCTGCATCTCCATTTCATCTGTCTAGGCAGGGGAAGCGGAGGCAAAGTTCACTACCTTGCAAATTTATTGTAAAATTCCAGTGAGAAAAAACATCAAAGTCCCCAGAAAGGAAGTCTGCTATCATGAAATCAACCAATAACAAATGCTGTCAAGGCTGTGGGGAGATAGGAACCCTTCTCCACTGTCGGTGGGAGTGCAGACTGGTGCAACCACTGTGGAAATCAATACGGAGATACCTCAAAGAACTAGGATTAGAGGTCCCATGTGACCCAGCCATCCCTCTGCTGGGTATCTTCCCAAAAGAATTAAAAGAATCATACCACAGCGATATATGTGCACCTATGTTTATAGCGGCACAGTTTGTAATAACTAAAACTTGGAAACAGCCCAATTGCACATCAACTGGAGACTGGATAAAGAAGATGTGGATTTTCTATAAAATGGAGTACTACTCAGCCATAAAGAATGAGAAATTAGAGTCATTCATAGGAAAATGGATGCATATTGAAGCCATACTCTTAAGTGAAATAAATATTTGTAAATACCAAATAGTTTCTCTGGTGTGAAAAACTAGAAGTGCAAATAAGATCCAAATTGTATAACTGACAATGTGAAATAGGAAGAAAAGTCTAAAGGTATAGGGGAAGTGGGAGGGGTAGGGGAAAGAGAATAAGGGACAAGAAAAAATATGAGAAAAGGAAAAAATGGAAACAAAGTCTTTGTAAATAGGGAAGGGAGGGCAGGGACAAGGGGAAACAATGAGAACCAAGACCTGTCGTGTAAAGGTACCGGATCCCAACGATAAATGTAAGTGTACTGTGTACCTAGAATGTACCAATAAACTCAATGAGGAAAAGGGTGGGGCGGGGATTTAGCTCAGTGGTTCGCGAAAGGTCCTGAGTTCGATCCCTGGTACCAAAAAGAACAAAACATCAAAGTCCCAGAGTGCAATAGGTGACCCCAACCTTGAAGCTCGAGGGCGCGCTTCATGGGCCTCTCCCTGGTCAGTTTGCTCCCCACCTTGTGGTCCCCTTTGGTGACCAGTGCTATCTGCTCGAATCAAGTCCATCTCAAGGGCCAGGTCCGGCAGTGCCACTTACCCAAACATTTAAGGTGAAAATCCACGGACCAATGCCTGGCAGATCCTGTCTGCAGCCTGGAATTCCTCTCCCTGCCTCTGGTCACTGCAGCTCCCTCGCCTCCTCTCTAAACGCTGCTGGTAAACTGTTGAAAAAGCAGACTCCAGCATTTCCCTGGTCCTTCATACTGCAGCCTCAGTGCATCTCCTTAACACACTCCTGCCTCTTCGCTGCCAAATTCCCATTTTCCTCACCCCACCACACACGTTCTTAGCTTTTCACATCCTAACTGTTGGTTGCTGGAATTTAAGCAGCAACTGGCTTTTCCACTTTAGCCTGGGACCATGGGACCACAGGTGCCCAGCAGTTCCAGGAGGTTTTTTGTTTGCTGATTCTTTGCAGTTTTCTGTGTAGACAATCATGATAACTGTGAACAAAGACTGTTTTATTCTTTTCTCCCAGTTTGTATACAATTTTATTCCCCTTTCTGGTCTTATTAGCTCAGTTAGGAATTCCAGTACAGTGCTAAATAAGAGTGATGAGAGCAGGTATAGTGGCCTCATTCCCGATGATGAGACGAAACACCGATCTGTCACCATTCAGGAAGGAATTAAGGCCAGGCATGGCAGCCTGTGCCTGTAGTCATGACTACTCAGGAAGGTGAAGTGGAAGGTGTGGAGAACCATAGATCCGCCCCTCCGCCATTTTATGATATAGCCTATGAAGCCATTTTGTATTAGGTTTAGTTTTCCTGTAGATCACATGATATGTTCCCGTGGGTGTTTGATGTATCCTTATAAGGTAATAATCTGTTCTCTGTATGCTGATTGGTTGCATTATGGTATATATGTTGCCACCCCTTCTGGGCGCGGAGAGAGAGAGCGGGGTAGAGATCCGGAGATGAGGAACTAAAGTAAATTCCTTGTGTATCAAGTGTGTGCCTCTTTGCTCACGCGTCGCCAGTTCAGGCCCCTGTAGTCGCAGACCGAGTTGCCCAAGGCAATCCGGCTGGCGACAGGTGGCGCCCGAACAGGGACCTGGACTCGGCGATTTTCGTGGGCAAAGTGAAACGGACCCAGGTCGCCTCGGGTTAAGAGGGACGGCAATCCGTCGGAGCAGCGGCTGCGCCTGATCCACGCAGTGGTAAGTAAAGGCAACCAGGAAGGTTGATTACTCTCGCTTGCTTGTGTTTATAGAAAACAGAAAGAATGGGACAAGGTCCATCTACGGACTCTATCACCCATGCCACCCAAAAAATTTTACAGACACAAGGAGTTAAGGCAAGCAAGATTCAAATTTCATCCTTCGTACGCACGATGGATGTTATCTGTCCCTGGTTAAGGGACGAAGAAACCATAGATGATGAAGTTTGGCAAAGAGTAGGTAAACAGATAACCAAAGCATTAGCTGAAACTCCAGACAGATATCCAGAAAATGTTTTTTCATTTTGGGCCATGATATCGGCAGCTCTAGGTCATGGACCCCCCAAGGAAATCCAACAAGCGCTTAATGAAGTTGAGGAACATCTCTCTGAGGAAAAGGAAAGACGTAGTACATGCTCGCAGGCATCTGAAGGGAAAAAGAGCAATATAGAGAGAGACAACATGGCGGAGGCTGCAGCAACAAGTCTTTCGGAAGCTCCTCTTCCGGTTTCTTCTTGCTGTCTTTATCCTGCGCTGCCCGCCTCTGCACTTCCTCTTTCAGCTCCGCCTACTGCCCCTCCTCTATATGAGGAGAACCTGCCTTCGGGGCCATTTTGTAAAGAGAAATTTCCCCCCGAATACGGCCACGCAGGAGACTTCTCTACTACTCTGGTAGAAGGGCGCTTCGCCTCTCTATCATTAAGTCAGAAAAGAAGTCCATTAGAACGGTGCTTACAGAATGCCTTGGATAACAAAGAGAGCACTGAGGAAGTCCAGCGACTCTTCCCTGTTTTTGAGTTGCAGGGCCCACAAGGCCTATATATAGAGAGAGAGATTAGACCCCTTGAATTCAAAATTATAAAGGAGTTGAAACTAGCAGTTAGTCAGTATGGACCTTCAGTGCCATTCACCATGGCCATTTTTGAGAGTCTGGCTGGGAACTGGCTTACACCTGGGGACTGGAAGGCAGTCAGCAAAGCTGTCTTATCAGGCGGAGATTACCTCCTGTGGTTGACTAATTATACCGAACAATGCAAAGTGACTGCGCACCGCAATCAACAGGCGGGAGTAGCTTTAGCGAGCTATGAGATGCTTGCAGGAGAAGGGCTCTTTGCTACTACTCAGGCCCAGATGCAATACGAGCCACCAGTCTTTGACCAGATTGCTAATTGTGCTAGACACGCCTGGCGGCAATTGCCCGGCACAGGTGATCTAAGTAGCAGCCTGAGCAATACCCGCCAGGGCCCAAATGAGCCCAATGGTAAAGACCCCACAACATCTGATGGGTCTCAAGGCATAGTATCTCCTTTACAAGAGGCTCTTAAACACGCCACAGCACAAGGGGAGGAAATCTTTAGACTATTCCCCGTCATTCAAGTAGAGGGACCCCGAGGGCCGATTAGAGAACATCACCCTCTTGAGTTTAAATTGGTTATGCACCCCCAGTTGGGGAAGGGGATTTTGCTTGTGTTTTTCCACAGAATGCTGATCAACCGCAGTGGATCCTGGAGCATTTTATCAAACAGATTAACGCAAACTGTGAAAAGGACCAAAAACAATCTTCCGGTGTTACTTCGTGGGACGTCATTACAGACTCTGTTAATCCCTTAAAGATAAAGATTGTGAAGACTCCTCCTAAGAGCTAATTCTTCCTGCTTTTCCATCTTATGTGCCTTTTCATACTTTGCCTATCATAGTAAATGATTATTTTTTATATTCACAAATAGAAGGTTAATAGTAAATGAGAAAGAAAAACATTAGGAAAGCTATAAGTAAGAGTTATGCTTTTGCATCTTGTTAAAAACAGCTAAAGAAAGATATACAAGATCAGAAGGCCGAAGTATATAGAGAAGGTGTGTGGAAATCATATAAAAGGTTTACATTTACAGTCAAGAAGAGTATTCATTCCTTTAACCCTAATTCTACAAGAGATCTCTGTTAATTTTGATTTGCAAAAATCTTGACTAGTCATAA